AGCTCTAAAAAGATTGAGTTTGGAAGGTTTTAAAAATCAGAATTGCTCAGAACTGCCAACAAGAAGAGCCTGTTGGAATTTCTAGGTCTTCTTGTTCTCACTCCTATCTGTGGATCTTTTTTTGAGTCTTTTGTATATTTTGATAATTTAGTTTGATCTTACCTACGTTTGTTTCTTTCCTTCTTGTGCTGCCTGATGTTTTCTTTTTCCTTACCATGCTCTTCTGTTTCTGCCATTTTCCACTCAGTTCAGGTACAGAACAGAAAAACAATTGTTTCTCTTCCGTGAGTTAGATGGGGGTTTTTTTGGTCTTGCTTGTACAAAAGCACACTGTCACAAATCACCTTTCTTCTCAGGGGTCAGTTTTTCAGATCATCTTGTCTTGCAGGTGTCCACCGAGCTTAAACTTTCTCTGCAGCTTCTCTCTTCCATCACTACTTCAGATTTCTATCTGAACTCTGTCTCTGTTCCCAGCTGGATCTCTCATGTGAAATTCTCTCAAATATTGATTTGTAGTTAACGTACATTCTGCAACCTTTTTATTTTGGTTGGCTGCAGGTTTTGGTTTCTTCTGCCTCAGCAAGCATCACCATTTTAAAGCGAAGACATCCCCTTCTGTACAACTCCCCTTTGTGGTGTTCTTTGCTTATTGGCCTTCTCAATGAGTGCCACCATTTTTAAACCTTTCTCCAAAGTCTTCTGCATTCTGATTTACTATCAGGAGTTAACTCTGGCAGTTGTCCTGATCCTTCTGCTCTTGAAGTCACTGGCACCTTTTGTTTAGTAGATATGCTGATATGCTTCTGATACTCCTTACCAAATAACAGTAACAGTGTTAGGTGGAAGGGAGCATCTGAATTCCTCTTTGCTGTTTTTCCTTGCCAGGATTTTGAGTGCTGCCTTCACTTGCAAGCTGATAAAATCTGGTTTTGCGCTTGCCTGGGTTTTGTTTTGTGTCAGATTTTTACACAGTTGTACATATTTTCTTTTTGCCGTCACAGAATGAATGGATGTCTTGCTGTCTCTTGGGTCTGTATTTTCTTTTCGGAAAGGATGTTTTGTCCATTTTGTGGCAAATAGAATCAGATTTCAATTCAGGAACCCTCAGTAGTTGCTGTTGGCACACTCCTCCTCTCCGCATGGGAGGGAAGGACCAAGCCACCTCAGTAGGGAAAGGCTGTTGGACGTCAAAGAGTTCCCTTGCTGTTATTATTGAGTAGTACTAGAATAAGCTTTCTTCTTTCTGATTTATGTTGTATAATCAGAATTTAGTTGTAACTCCACTAATAATGACATTTTTAGAAACCTAATTGGGAAAGAGGGTATTTTAAATTGCTTTTCATATGTACACTGTTTTCACGGTTTTCAGTTTACTTTGTGAAGAAGGGTTTTCATCTCGAGTAGTTACTTGTTTCTTAAAGTCGTTTCAGCTGTTAATCATGGTCATTGGTGCTGCCAGTTCTACTGTTGGGTGGTTTTGTTTGGTTTTTTCTTTTTTACTTTTCATTTTTTAGTGTGTGGTGTTTTTGTCTAAAGTGTCAAAAGTCTTTTCTCTAAGCCTAAAATCCAATACCCTTCATCATTTATTTTCAAGTGTAGCATGAAATAATGGAGAGATACTCCAGGACTTGCTTATCTTAACAAAAGCCCAAATAAGTGTACTAATGCTGTCCTTTTACAGACATACATCATTTCCTTGGAAAAATTATGTGCTCAAGTAAAACAGACTTTGACATTAATTGTTACCATTTGTTAAGACCATTTTGTTCTGTTTAGCACACTTAGTTATCCCTAATAGGAAAGCAAATTTGCACTGTTATTTTATTGATTATTAGTCAAACCTTTTGCTTTGGGGAAAATGTAATTTTGAAATATATCAATATTTATACCTGAGTGTTTACATTTTTTTGTTTTATTTATTTTTATCACCTTTAAGGGAATTCCCTGGTACTTTTTGGTAATTCCTGTGACATTGAAAGTCACAAAAGTGAAAGACTCTGGCAGAGAATCTATCTGTACGGAGTGGGATGCAGTACCTTATTCTTTTAGTGAGGCTGTAGCAGGTCTGATGTCAGTCACTTCAGAGACCTTTAGACCTCAGTGCTCATTTATTGCTAAAATGTACCAGCTCTGCTCCTGCATTATGAAGATCATCTGTCAACACTTTGAGATATTCTCCTTTGTTATTAAGCTTGTGATGCTCTACACTGTCAGGTTTTTTGCCAATTATAGTTAAGGTACAATGGTGTATTCACTGGATCAAAGTCTCACACTGGCGGTAGAGGAATGATTTGTAAGTCTTTATTCATCTGAATCGTACAATAGAATACCTGAGGAATGCAAATAATCCCTCTAAGGACTCAATAGAAAAGCTGTTAAAATGACAGTCTGAAACTATTATTATTCTGAATTGGTGTTTTAGCCAAAGTAATTATTTCTTATCTTGTTGTTCCACAATAGTTCTTAGTTTATTAGTTATGATGACCATATTTACCAAACAGAATTTGAATCCAATTTTTGACATTATTTTCATGCTCATTTCACTTTTTCAAGTTTGCATGTTTCATTCTGTCTTTCACTTAGCACATTATTGAATTAGTCTAGAGACGAATGTTAGATACTTCCTTAAAGAAATCTCTAAAGGATGTATGCACAAATGTTGAAATACACTTATGAATATTAGATTCATTTTGAGATATATTTTCTGTATAAAGTTGGCATTTATAAACTCAGAACTTTGATACCCAGTTTGTTAGCCAAAATAAATTAGTAAACTACAAATGTTGGTTTTAGAAGTGCTGTTAAATGTTACATTCAGAAACACACCTTAAGTGTGATTTTTCAATTCAGATGTTTCTGAAAGCAGTAGTGTTTAAATATCAGTCCTGGATACCAGACTATATTTTCATTGGGTAACTGGAGGAAAAAAAGATTAGTATAATGAGGATTGAAAAACACTGATGGTTATTTACATAAGTAAATGATAGAAGACCAGCCTTATATAACAAACGTGTGAAAACTGTTGAGTGAACTTCTGTATTCTTTGTCCCATCTAAAACCCTACTCAGTGGGCCATGCACTTAATCTCATAATAGCTCTGATCCCCTGCTATTTTCTTTGACAAATGTGTGTTGATGAACTTGTGGTTCAGTTCATTTTTTTCTGAAGTGACATTTGCATTGATTATTTAAAGGTTTGCAGGCCACAGTTTCAAAGCACTTTAGTATAATAGCAGTTAAAACCTTAGTCTAAATCTTGCAGATTAGCAGGACTAAGAAAAAGAACTCAGCAAGCATAAAGCCCTGTGCTGTATAGTGGGTGCTTCAGGTCTGAAACATCTCTGGCACCCAAAGCACCGTTTTGTAATTTAGTTATTTGTACAGGAAGTATTCCCATGCCTCTTGTGTTTGCTTACTGAGCAGAGTTGTCATTCTTACTATTCACACCTGTTCAGAAATAGTCCCCTGGTAATAACAGGGAACTCTTTAGAGGTAGTTTATAAGTGTCTCCCTTAAATTTAAAATAAATAGTACTTGGAGTCATGAATGTGTTGCCTGCATGTAGACGTTTTTTAAATACCAGCTATTGCTGTGAAGTTTTCACTGAATCATACAATATTCTGAGTTGGAAAGGACCCACAAGGATTACTGAGTCCAACTCCTGGCCCTGCACAGGACATCCCAAGGATCACACCATGTGCTTGAGAGTATCATCTAGATATTTCTTGAACTCTGTCAGGCTTGGTGCTGTGACCACTTCCCTGGGGAGACTCTTCCAGTGCCCAACCACCCTCTGGGTGAAGAAACTTTTTCTAATATCCAACCTAATCCTCCCCTCACTCAGCTTCAGATCCTGTCACTGGTCACCACAGAGAAGAGATCAATGCCTGCCCCTCTTCATCTCCTCACGAGGAAATTGTAACTGCAATGAGCTCTCCCCTCAGTCTCCTCCAGGCTGAACAGACCAAGTGCCCTCAGCCACTCCTCACACGGCTTCCCCTCAAGGCCCTTCATCACCTTCGTTGTCCTCCTTTGGATGCTCTCTAATAGCTTAATATCTTTCCTATACTGTGATGCCCAAAACTGCACACAATATTCAAGGTGAGGCTGCCCCAGTGCAGAGCAGAGCGGGACAATCCCTCCCTCGACCGGCTGGCGATGCTGGGCCTGATGCCCCTCAGGATGTGGTTGGCCCTCCTGGCTGCCAGGAGGCTGCCAGTTTTGCTTAACTCTAATAGGATATTGAACATTGAAAAACTACCAATGGTAGCTCTAAATTTGTTGTTTCATTCAACTTAAAAAAAGGATGAAACCAAACAACTATGGATGTTGCCAGTTATTGAAGATGAAGAGAAACAGGAAATTTTATTGTTTATTTAAAAATAATCATAGTGTAATATCCAGAAGCTTTGTCCTGGGTCAACAGTAGAAAGAAGGGAAAAACTAATAGAAACACAGCCATGTATTCATCAGCTGTGGCATATTCCAAGATCAATAGCCAGAAAAAGCAGGGTGTGACTTGCTATATAGGAGTTTATGGTGTTCTTTTCTATCTGTTAATATCAGCTGCCCCAGCTACTGAGATGCCTTTTTATTTTATTAAAAAGAAAAAAAAACTCAGGAAAAACTGAAGGCCTTCAGTTTTACCATATTTGATAAATATCACTCTTGGAAGTACATTTTTCTCTCAGAAAGTTTTATTCATACCTTTCAGATTGCAAGTATTTAACCTCTACCAAACACCTAGTTATTGTCCCAAATTATGCCTATTTCTGATAGATTAAATGCCAAACAGAAACCAAGAAACAGTGAAATGTTAATGGAGTACACCTGAAGCAATTGCTGCCTGTTAATGCCTTGACCTTGGAAAGCAATACACAAAAAGATGGCATCATAAATCCATGCAATTCTTATGAATATGTATGTGCTACTTGATAATAATGAATGTGGTACAGCCATGCATGCACTACAAGATAATGTTGTGCCCTTTGTTGTCTACAGGTTGATAAAAATTAAAGAGTGGGTGGACAAGCACGACCCGGGTGCTTTGGTCATTCCTTTTAGTGGGGCCTTGGAACTCAAGTTGCAAGATATGAGTGCTGAGGAGAAACAGAAGTATCTGGAAGAGAACATGACACAAAGGTTAATTAGCATTCATTTTCCCTACACTTTATTATCAACTATTTCCTTGCAGTAATTTAATTGCTTGCGCTGATAGAATAATAAATGACAGAGTAATTACCATTATAAAGAGAGAATCTTCTCCTTTCTTTACCATGAGACAGAGTGAAAAGATTTATTTTAAATTAAGTTTTTAACTGTCATCTGTCATCTCTGTACAGTGTTTTAATTATAACATAGGTATTAGTTATGTATATTTTTGAGAAGGAATGATCACCAAAACTGTTTCGTCATCCATGGGGAATGAGGATGGTGGAGAAAATTTTGCCATAATTTTCTGAAGAACTGTAATAAATTGTTTCAATATTGAATTTCAGTCAAACAGATATGCTTTCATGACCTGGAGTCCTGAAAATTGCATGAGACCAAAAGTGCTGCCTGATAGAGTGATTTAAATTTATCCCATGTTTCTGTAGTCTGCCAAATAAACAAATCAAAATACTATATTTATGATTCTGCAGTAAAAAAGTGGTTCTTCTGAAGAGAGTTCAAAGTAAAAGGCTACTGCAATTATTGCTGTGCTTAAAAAGTAGACCTGGTATCTTCAAAATATGTGATGTCTTTCCACGTAAATTGATTACTTGGCGCATTTAGCTGTTTTATGTGTATATGCTGAATGAATTGGATTCTTTCTTTTTTTTCTTTTTTTTTTTCAGTGCTTTAGCAAAGATCATTAAGGCTGGATATGCAGCACTCCAACTAGAATACTTTTTCACTGCAGGCCCAGATGAAGTGCGTGCATGGACCATCAGGGTAAGATTCATACTTATTCATCAGCTATATCCAGTTCCACACTATTGAATTCAGATTGATATCACTGACTTTGAAGTTTGTCATGGTGGCGGTTAGCTAGTCATTACAGATGAGGTTTTTGTCCAGGATAACTTTAATTATTTGTGAGCTGCTGAACAGTGAAAGTGGAGCTGCATTGATTGAGGCAGGTAACAATTGATTCTGCCTATTACATAGTCTGAATTTCTTCATCCTGTAGAATCTGTCTACCCTCCTCCTGTGGTCAGAGATAAGACGTACCAGTATTGTGCTTGCTTAATCTGTGTGACTGGGTTTGTCTGCAGTGAAATTGATGTTGCTTTTCATTTTGTATTCACTAAGTTTGTTTGGGTTGCGGATGGTTCATTCCTCCTTTGCTTTGCTCGGATTACATTTTCAGCAATAAAAGCAATATAACGTCATTATATTCCTCATGGATACACAGTTGGGCTCAAAAACCTAAAATCAGTATACAGTAATTCAGGTCTTTTACTATTTAGACCTGGTTTATTTTGGTAGTTTTATATGTTTATCTGGGAACTTATTTAATGCTGAAAATAATATTCTGTATTTTAAATATTGATGTAGGATGATTATAGCCATAGAGATCAACTAATTTATTCCCAGAGGACAGTAAGAGCTGAGCTGTAGTGGTTTGCCTTTGAATGTAAATATGTTATAATATAAAGATCAATATTGAAAAATATTTTGAAATGCATGTAGTTACAAACTCTTAAAAATTACAGTAATGTCAACTTTTGGAGATGCAGCTCTGTCTTTGAGCTTTTATTGTTTGCATCAGTGTATTTAGTGCTGTGCAATGAATTTCAGTGCTGTATTTAATTTCATTCAATGGAATTAATTTGTTTTCATTAATCAACATAATTTCCTGTAAATTTATATTTTTAATAGTACTGCTACAGATGTTTGTGTATGTGTTTTAGCACATTAAACTTATTTTCTTATAAGTGTGTTTATTTTTTTTAGTTTTCTCCTCTCATCTTCTTTTACATGATAACTGCTAGCTAAAGTCCCTGAAATAGCTACCAAAATAATATAAAAGCAGAAGTTTTGTTTTTCTGAGTCCTGCTGTAGTTTTTAAAAGCACATTGTGAAACTCCACTGTTCTCAGTAGGAGAAATGCTTGCTCTTTATTAGAAAATTTGAAAGCTGGTTTATCTTAAGACTGATTGTAAGTATCTTTGATTTAATGTGCAAAGATATTTAGTCAGGTAAGCATCAGTGAGTAGCCATATTAACCCAATACATCTTTTATTGTAAAAACTGTGCTTTACAGTGTCAGACTCCTTAGCACTTTAACATGCTTTATTAAGCAGCCTTTAGGTCACCATTATTTCTCAAATTTCTCTCCATGGTTGTATGTGCAGAGAATGTATGTCCTTGTAATTTGAAGCATGCAGTTATAATGCATTCTTCTCTACTGCATAAACTTAAATTATCTTATAGTTGCCTGTGATTTTTTATTTTTTAGTGATTCAGATGTTGACGTTTTTGTAAGAATACTTAGTTTGTTCTATATCAAACTTAATAAAATTATTCTGAAATAAAAATAAGCTAATGTATAAGGCTTGAGATCCATAAATCATTTCTCAGTGCAAATTTGGTTCACCAGTGAATGTTATCATTCAGTTGAAATTATCTGGATGTAGGTAAAAGTCCTGAGTAATTCAGATTTTAAAGTTGTTTAAAAATCTTTCAGTGTGGAAAGCTAGAGATCGAAGTGAATCTCACAATAAAACACAATCAAAATCAATACTGCTGTTGATACCTATTAGGAAAAACAAAGCTACTGCTCTTTAATATCGGTTGGTTTATCTGTGACGAAGGTGTCTGTCTGTGTGTCCCAGTATTAAGGATCACCCAGCTGTATGCCTGACATTTTAGCTGATACGAAACAAAGTTTCAGCAGATCTTGAAAGCATATAAAAAAGGAGAAACCTCTTTCCTGCAATCAATCTTCTTAAATGCAATTAATTTTCTTCTGGTCTCTCCTTTGACAGAAAGGGACGAAGGCTCCTCAGGCAGCAGGGAAGATTCACACAGATTTTGAAAAGGGATTCATTATGGCTGAAGTAATGAAATATGAAGATTTTAAAGAAGGAGGTTCAGAGGCTGCTGTCAAGGTGAGCTCCCCATCCTTTTCTACTCCCTTCCTCCATATGTGCCATTTTTCCATTTCAACTCTGTTTTTCACTGGGAAGAAGTTCTTAATGCTAAGCAAATCTTCACAGTCACCTCTAGCAAAAGACAAAAATCTGTTTTCATCTTTTACTTAAGAAAGAGTTCAAATGCACCAACTTACTGGACAGGAATGCAACTGTTTTAGTATCCAAGATACGACAGTGTGTGGACTGAATATTTTCTCTCTTTTTACATGTTACTGTTCAGAATTTAATAAGCTTTAAATTTAGCTTGTTTTTCGAAAATCAGATTTTTAAGATGAGAGAGCAGACTTTTTAAGGAAAATCAAGAAATGCAGAAAATCTGTTTCTTCTAATAGTGTGTCATCTTGTTTTGAGTTTGGAATAAAGATTTTTACAAATGTCAGATGCAAATTATTAAGAAAATATTGTATTATAAAAATATACGCCTTTTTTCAGTATTAGTGGGTTCCACTTCTAGGCTCTGATAAGTATAATTAGGATCTTAAAATTTACCATTTCAGTGTTTAATTCAATTGGCCTTTGATATCTTACTCAAAAATGCCATGCCTTACTTTGATCGTTCAGAGTGACAGTAATAGTGAGTCCACAAAATATGATAGGTGAATTTTCCTGGCTACTGTCTGCTGAATAGACAGTGAAGATATTTAATGAAAAACTTTTTTTCTTGAGCTCACGGTTCTTTGTGGTTACACTTGTATTGAGAAGAGTTTTATCTGCTTTCTCAACACTAGAGGGCAGAGACTGCCTGGGTGCCCAAACTTGTGCCCTTTTAGAGCTGACAAATTATATCTGATTTGAAGTTATTAAGTATGAAATTAACTTGTACATGGCAAATAAATGTTATAAGAGAAGCTGTTCTTCTCTGTGTTGCTAATGCATTATATCCACCTTCTTTAAGCAGAGAAACTTCCCTGTATTTGCTACACATTTGATTTCTCGTTTGGCATTTTTGACGTTTTTTTAAGATTTGTATTTTAGAAAATTGCAATTACAAAGCACATTAGTTTGATTTACTCAGTCTCAGTATTTGAAGGTTCCTACACACTATAATGTGTTAAAGAATTTAAAGGTTCAGCTTTATTGTTTGCTATTTGATAGCTTGAAAGGTATGCAAAACTATGATTTCGAATTCAGCCTATTCTCAGTGGTATCACTAAGGAAGATCATACTGAGCAGCGGGACTTTAATAGGTTTGTTTGAACCCCAGGAAGTGAGGGGAAAAAAATCCCGTATAATTGGTTCGTTGCGACATGTGAACTGCTTTATGAAAAGGGAAGTAGAGTTGTAGCTGTAAAGTGAAACCACAGCTATAAATAAATCTAATATTCTGCAGTCAGAAACCACTTTACGTAACTGATTCAAATTTTGCCAGCAACAGTTTTTGATGCTCGAATATGAATGTTTTCCCTGAGAAGCTGCATCAGTTAACACCTATTAATCAGTATTTTACTTGTATATTTTTACTTGCTTTTCACAATGTAAGATTCTAAAAATCAAGCTCCCATGCTCAAATTATATTTAATTATTAAATTTTTATTGTTACAAAGTATCTGTACAACAAGCATGTTTGCATTTGTTACTTAGTTTTAAAATCAAGGTTAGAAAAAACCCTTGTCCTTAGAATAAAGTGTCATACTCCTCTGGTCTTTTCTAATTTGCATTTAATACAATGTTTCACACCATACACAATACTAATTACTTTTATATTGATGGTAAATTTCAAAATTAAATTTAGGAGCTTCGAGGAGTCAACTGAAATAATAGTGGTAATGGGAGTTGCTTGCTTTGTATGTTATCAAGTTGATCGATTTTTAAGTTTGATTTTGTGTGTGTTTAACACCAGTACAGCATAACTAATTTAAT